AGAGAGAGAGAGAGAGAGAGAGAGAGAGAGAGAGAATAAATCCAAGCACTTGTAGAGGATCCCTTTTGAAGGCTCTCCCAGGGGACTGTGTTCTGCGTATACCACAAGAGCTTTGGGGTTGAATCAGATAACTATGGCTGTTCTCTTGGCTACAGCTATCAAATCAAAGGTCCATTCTTCCTGGAGCAAATCTTCCTTCCTAAGAGGAGAGCTAAGATGCCCTAGAACTTATGTAGGTTAACATAGTTACTTTATATATATATATAGACTCATATCTTTCTTGCTTGCAGCCTAATTATTTTTGTTGCCTGATTTATGGGTCAGTGTTAATTTACAAGACTTCTAACTAGTATAGGTGTTTGGCACCAAATCTATTTAAAAACCTCAAAACCTTTTCATAAAAACAAAATTCCAATTTCATTGAATATTTTGTCCATCCCAAGGAGTGTCACCAAAGACGACTTCTTGGAGGCACTTAGTGTGAAAGGTTAATTTCATCCTAACAGGTGTGATCAATTGCAATCTGGGCTCAGCATTTATATACCAAATGTAGTAGGGTTATTCTGATCACACCTGAATGTGATAGTCATTCAGAGCAACATGTTGATCTTTCCACCTGAGAATGCTTTTACACAGGCTGCAGTCAGAGGGTTGGGTATAAGGGTGGTTTTTAGAACAGAAAGCCTTGTGGAGGTGGAGTGCTGCCAACAGTTGCTCTGTGGCTTTCTGCGCTGCACGCTCACTCCCTTAGTCACGGAACTGTCCTCTCTCCTTTGCAGTGAATCACATGAAGGTCACCCCCATGGATGCGGCCACAGCCTCGCTCCTCAACGTCTTTAATGGGAATGAGTGTGGGGCTGAGGGCTCCTGGCAGGTGGGCGTCCAGCAGGATGTAACACACACCAATGGCTGTGTGGCTCTGGGAATCAAACTACCTCACACAGAATACGAGATCTTCAAAATGGAACAGGATGCCCGCGGCCGCTATCTGCTGTTCAATGGCCAGAGACCCAGTGATGGGTCCAGTCCCGACAGGCCCGAGAAGAGAGCCACGTCCTACCAGATGCCCTTAGTGCAGTGCGCTTCCTCTGTGCCCCGAGCCGAGGACTTCTCCGAGGACCACAGGGCTCACCAGTATGGGAGCCAGGCATCTGGGAGGAGCCCTTGTCCCCAGCTCCTTGCTGCACTCACCTGCCTTTTGACTCTGCTGCACTGGAATGTTCTCAGATAGACATTTTTAAAGAGTTATATTTTTCCAAAACAGGATTCCTTACAATTTACAGATTTTTCCTTACGAAAAGAAAGGACACTTCCGATGCACTTGAGTACCCAAGAGCTGTCATTCCTTTTCTTCTCTGCCTCGCCCCTCCCTCCCAGCCTGAGTCATGAGCAGCTCTGTTTGAAGTTTCTGCCTTGAACTCTGTCCAGTCAGATCCCTGACCTGGGCACCTTCACAATAATTGCACTTTAAGACCACAGAGTGTTTTGGTCTAGTGTGTTTGGTAGAGGGAGCAGAGTGAAAGCTACGTCCTCTTCTTTTCTTCCTCTTTATTATTATATTTCTGAGTTGAACTTAGAAGAAACAAACAACAAGCTACAGCTTTTCCTGCCATTTTACTGTGATCGCTTCCTGTCCTCCTTTGAAACTGTTTTCCTCTCTGAGTTTTACAACCTGTAATTCAGTGCAGATTTGGTTTGGGACTTGATCAAGACACCATTTATTAATAAAGAAGAGACTTGGGTGTAGATATGTACATAGGAAAAGACATCCGGTTTAGCTTAACCACCTTGACAGCCTTTATGAAAAAAAGGAGAGAATCCAAACTTTCCAGTGTTGAGTGGAATAGTACCTGTAATTAAAGTTTCAAAGTAATTTAAACTATTGTTGTTTTAGCTTGTTGGGAAAAGAAATGGTGGTTAGATGCTGGGTTCTGGGTGGTTGGGGAATGCATGGTGCTTTCCTACCTGCTCAGGAGACAAGTGTGGCCAAGCAAATATCAAAAGCAGTGCTGTTACCGGATAGATAGGAGCAGTGATGCATGGTGTAGTGACCATGTGTTAAACGTGAATGATAAAGTACCCATTGATTCCTTAGTTTCCTCTCCATGGGACCCTCATCCTGACTTATTCTGTATCTGGTCAGGGATGAGCAGATGGCGCTTCACTCTGGCAGCTCTGCTACCTTCAAAGATGAATACTTAGAGACCACACTTTGATGTTTAAGGGCCTGGCTGTTCAAAGAGTGCAGAGGGGGCTACCAGACTAGGTGCTCCAATAGGCCCTCAACTTGCATGAAACCCAGGCTTTGTGTACAGTCTCTTTACCTTCAGTCATGCCAGCTTGACTCAGTTTCTGTCCTGCCATTGCATTGGCTCTGTCACTACAGAGAACCTCAGGGTCACCTTATACAGACTAAGTGAGCTTCTTTCTCACAGACATCGGGAGGTGCATGAGTTATGTCTGCCCATTACTTTGGATTATTACAAATGGTGCTATCTGAACACAAAGTGTTATTGCCAGTAGAGACTGATGGAGGGAAGTGGTGAGTAACTAAAATCTTGGATGTAACTAAAAGTGGACATGGAAACCAAGATCAAGGTCCAAGAGTTATACTTGTATTTAAGAAATAAATTTATGAAATGCTATAGCATTCAGTGTGGTGTTAAGTTATAAGGATGGCATGCAGTACCAAAGTGCTTTATCTTAGATTATATTTTAAGTTGTGGTGCATACTGAGGGGGGTTATTCAAATGAAAATACTAACTTAATGTCTGCCAAGTTTAATAAACAAAGATGTCAAAAATAGTCCCAGAAAATACATTTTACCTGTGGATCTATTTAATTAATACTAATGCTATCTTTAAAGGATATAATAAAGTTATGTGAAAAACTATGTTCACTGCTAAAGAATACCTCAGTGATTTACTATAAAAGTGGTAGATTGATAGTCACTTAATTCATAGCCACTCATCTAAACTTAGCTTTTCACACTTTTAAAAAGTACACTACATATGAGTATACACACATATATGCACATACATATATGCATAAACCTAACTATTTAGATACTAACATGTACAAAATGTATTTTATATACGTATATATGTACATATATATACATATATCTTTCTCTATACACACACACACACACACACACACACACACACACACACAGGTCTATCTTAGGGATGATATGAAATACAGAGAATGACCAATATATTTTATTCACAAATTAGTGGCACAATTATTGGGTTGTCAGAAAAGTCATGACGCATTTTTGCAATGAAAAACGTAGAAAAAATATGTCAGGACTTTTCCGACAACCCAATAGATTTATGCTTGTTGCTTGCTTTATTACCCACATATATCACATCTTATCTTGCTTATGTCATGTTAACTATAAGCTTCTGTAAAAGTAATCCCCGTGTATCCCTTGAAGATCTTCAGTTCAAGTGCTTTCCCATTGCCTTGAAGAAACATAGCAATCTAAGAGTCATTCAGGTTTGATAGTCAGATATTTTAACTTAAGACCAAGATGGTATCTCTGAGGAAGGTGTGACTTATTCTATATAGGAATATTCTATAATAAGCTTAAAATACTCCATATTCACTCAGGTGTTGGCATGTCTATTCCTAAGTTAGTAGCAGGTAGTTCTACTTATGAATACTGGGTTTGGGGAATGTAATAAGTAAATAAAGGATGGCTCTTTTAGATTTCACTGGCCTGCTGGAACTAGACTTTTATTGCTGGGTAGCAGGCTGATAATGGTCAGGGTCAGAAAGTTGTTTCTTGGACAGCTATAAAATTTGGGTGTGATCTAGGCTTTAAACTATAAAATCCTAGTTGACCCTGGACTCAAAAAGGAGCTTCCTAGAGTCCCAAGTCTACCCAATTCAGAACAAAGGTAGTTTGTTCAGATATGACAAGTTGGGTCTCGCGTTGTAGAGTAGCAACACTCATATCCAGTGTCTGACTTGTGGGTGATGGTCATCCTAAGCAGTCCGCAGCACTCCAGTGCTGTAGCAGCCCACTAGGGTAATTCTCGGCATCCTACATACAGGATCCCTGTTAGAGAGCCATGCAGTCCAGGACCTCCACAGGGCCTCACACACATACCTTATGAAAATGATGGGAATGTAAGACTGTGGTTCCTGGTTGAAGGGAAAGCTTTAACAAGAGCCATTCTCTTTTCCCTCAACTCTTTAAATACATCTTGAAAACAAAGATGATGTTCATAGCAGTCCAGAAATATTGCAGTGTTTTATTTTAAAATGGTATAGGTATCTGGCAATGGAATGTAGAAACCAAAAGACAGTATCTAATTGGGCATTTCAGGACACTGTCCTCAAAGGAGAATACTGAACCTCCTGAGGTGGGGTAATGGGAAAGGGGGAGGTGGGTGGAGATAGAGGGAGATCGGGTCAACTCTTAACAGAGAGAGCTGCTCTAACCCACACAGACTTTTCTGGCCTTTTTGAGACACCTGAACTTTCTTGAGTCCAAACATCTTGCATAAAATTCATCTGCATCAGGAAAAAATAAAGGTAGCTTGGATAAATGTTTCCTCCTGATTTTTAGATTCATGAGAAAATGCATAAGCATTCCTTTTTTACCAGGAAGAGAATCACGTGTCCTAAAATACTAACTGAATTCTTCACATCCCTGTGATGATCCAGGAGCATCTCTGCCTTGCAGGGTAAACAATCTCTGAAAGTACAACAAGGCCCCTATTTATTTATCACAACCTCAATTCCTTCGTGTTTCAATAGGCATGAGTAACATTGTCACGAGAAAGAAATATTCAGGAAGTTAAGGCCTCCAACTTCTCCACTGGCTAAGATGTGATGAAATTGACAATATGGTCACACCCCTCCAGGGGAGACCTAACTGACACCAAGTTGTATGCCACCAAACGTGTGAGACTGGACAAACACACATCTTGACTCAATGTAGTGTCTGTCCTCCTAGGAAGCAGATCAGGGTCTAAAGGGTGGCCTCCCGTTCTAAGAACAAGGCTGTGGTTTCTAGGGATTCATTTTGGACTCTTAGTTTCTGACATCTGTTGTACCACCACTCCCTAACCCCCATACCTGGAATACCACCATTTCCATTTCCCCTTCATTTAATGAATCTCATGTAGCCATTACATTAAAATTCAGAGGTGTGAGAGTTGGGGGAGAGTTCGTGAGCACAGAGAGCTGCACTTTGCAGCCTTGGGCCTCTAAAGCTCTGTTGGCTACCAACTACCTCAATCTTCATCCTCCTGAGCTGGAAGAACAACGGGCACTTTTGTCAGCCTCTAAATAACTGCTCCAGCCTTTCTGTTTCTCATGAAGTCACTTTCTCTCAGTTGATATTAAAGGCTGAGAAAGATCCTCAAAAGGCTGGGAATTTATTTTCCAAGAACATTAGCCATTTGAAGCCCAGTCCTTTCTGCAGTTGATGGGGCAAAATATGTAAGACAATTGAGGCTATGACCTTCAGGAGATCAAGGTTATTGTAAACAAGTGAGGGCCAAACAAGAGACAGCCTAAATAACATAATCCAGGTTCTCACAGGTTGGGCCCTGGAATCAGTTTATATAGATTGAAAAATTGAGATATCTGTTGCATGGTGTAGGTTTATCCCCCAACTTATTTGGGAAGTGAAACTATATTATATCTAGGTTCTAGCATTGCTTATATGAAAGAAAATAGCCTCATAACACCCTTTACTCATAGCTCCTAAGAAGAGCACTAAAAAAATAAATAAATAACACGCCTAAAAAGAGCCTACAGTCTCCAATGAGCCTCAAAGCAAAGGAGAGTATATTACATTATATTAGGGTAAACTCGGGTAGGCAACAATTCCGGAGAAATATCACAAGAAGATAACTCTCCTCCACTCTTGCTGCCTTGCAATACCTGGAAATAAACAGCACTTTTGTAACACATAAGGCTGGTTGGCCCTAAAAGTCCTTTGCAAGTACTAAGCTTTATTGAAATTAATTCAAATGGAGAGTATAGCAATATAAGTACTTATGGTCTATTAAAAAGCAATAACATTATAGAGTTCTCTGCCATTTATGTAAAAGAGAAGCAATTAGTATCTAATTCCAGTGTAGACCTTTATCCATTTTCAGTGCTTTTTCAGCACTTGATCAATGTGATCTTATTGTTTTTTACTTATACGTATATTTTGTCAACGTACAAATCAATTCTTCTTCTCCACTACATGTTCCCAATTACATTGTCCAATAAATTTGACCCATGGTTAAATGTTTATTAAAATAAGGCTAGTAAATAGAGCACTAAATTCCTTGGAAATTTCAATCAAGTCTACAGAAGATCAAGAAGGTATTATGCTCATTTTATAGATGGTAAGAGTGAAGCTCTCTGAGGTTAAGGATTAGGGAACCACAGAGTTTTTATTGAACTGGTCTCCTTTTTTGCCCTAGAATTTCAGCCTGACTTTCTCAACAACAGTAGCCATTTCTTGAGTGGACACTAAATATATGGCATCATACTTGGTTCTTTAGATATAGTGTATTCTTTAATTTTCACAACAATCTTGCATGGTATGTTACAGTTTTGAATTCTTACTGAAAAAATCTAGTTAAGATTTGCAGAGTGCTCGTTCTCATTCCCTATAAACAAACGCCTTTATCACTGACCCTTCCAGAACATGTGGAGGCAGAGTGAAGCTTACAAAGCATATGTCTCACTCTTAATTTTGGGAGAGATAAAGTAAAACTAATGAGGCATCGGTGTCTGTTCTTAAGTTTTACAGTGGAACCCCCCAATCCCTACCCCCTTGATCAGGCTTAGGAAAGGCAAGGGAACCTCTTCCCTTCCAGAAGGCTTCAGGAACCATCCAGGCAGAACAGTGAGTGTCCTTTTTGCAACAAGCGGACAATTTCAACTTCCAAACATCCTTGGGCTTGAGTGACCCTTCCATTCAGTCAGCCCAAGAAGGATTCCTTCCAGAATTCTTTCTTGGTCCAAGGTCTCCAGTCCAGTGAGTGAATGCTTTCAAGATGGGTTCCTGCACACATTAGTACACACTTCAAGTTCAAGTGATAGATATCTGAGCATCTCAGGTCAAGCTGGAGAGAGATTTGGTGCACTCAGTAAAGCTCCTTAGAAGAAGCCTATTGTGTGTGCAGTGTGAGGGATAGTCTGGGTGGAAGTATGTGCAGAGGTATCTGTGTTCTTTCTGGCCGCCAGTATACTTCAGTGAATTACCATTCTAGTACTCAACTTTCATTTTGGCCCTGGCTTATCTATTTGTCTCCAATATCTATTAACCTTCCCATAGATGATTTACATAGTCACTATGACTTTGAACTAATTAATACTCTTATTTCAGTATGAAAAGTTCAATGCCAAGACATGCAATGTGTTAAACCAATATGTTACATTTTTTTTCTACTGTAGTAAGAACATTTAACATGAGGTCTACCCTTTTAACAAATTTTTAAGTGTACAATGTAGTATTGGTTATTAACTATAGGCATGGTGTTGTATAGCAGATCTCTAGGGCTTATTCATCTTGTATAACTGAATTGTTGTGCTCATTGAAGAGCAACTCCCCACTTCCCTCTCCCTGGGGTCTCTGGCAACCACCATCTAGTGTCTGCTTCTATGAGTTTGTTTGTTTTAGATA